TAATATGAAAGAAACTTACTGAAAAAATTACACATTAAATTCCTAATGCCTAATTGGAAAGAAGTAGTGACTCATTAGAATATTTTTAGAATTAAACTTAGTATAGAAACTGTATTAGCAATTAACCCATTAAAGTAGTGTTTATCTCTAGATAAGCAGAGAGTTTTATAATGGAGATCTTATTTTAGTTTAAGTAAACCAGCTTTAAATTTTCATGTTAGAATGAAATCAATAGTTTCTTTAAAAAATATTTTGTTTGTACTCTGTTGATGGATCCAGGTGATCATTTGTAAGAAATATAAGTGAAAACATTCTATCACAAAGACAGGGAGGATTACTCAGAAAGAATAAAAATAAGCTAAAATGTTAAAACTTTCACCCATTTGTCTAATTATACATTATGACTTTTAAATGGAAAGTGCTTTGGGTTTACACTTGCATACACTTTAACAAATATTTTAATACAGTTGAAAATATAATTAGGTCCAGTAGACTTAAATTAAAATGAGTATAAGGTTTACCATTAGATTTTTAGAAAATTAGGAAGATAAATTGTTCCAATTTGCCAATGACCTCCTTATCATCCCTCCCACATAACAATTTACTGGAATTTAACAACAATTAGAATTCTCCTAGTGGGCCCTATTAGTGCTTACATTATGCAGTGTGAATAATACATTTGAGGCATCAGCATTCTAGTATTTAGGCTGTGGCTTAACTCTGGTTTTAAAAAGAATGCCACTGTCCCATTCATTTTATTGTTTCACAGTTGCCTGGAAATGGAGTAAGGAAAAAATATTTTTGAATGTCAGCAAACCTGGATAACTCTAACTGTTTAGAGCTGTCGATCCCTGGCGCATTACAGAGATTTAGTTCAGCAGTGTGTGCGTGCGTGGGCACCCTTCCCAGCCAACTGCTCAGACTCCACCAACAAGGGAAATTCCACCTAGTACATCTTTTTGTACTAACAGTGTCACTACATTTTTGAGTTAATGATATGCAAAGGCTAAACGGGTATATTACATACTGTTCATATGATTAAATTTGAAAGTATCACTTTAAGATGTGATAGAGCAGATTATTTTTTTCCAAACCATAATGTGCATGTTTTTTAAGTGAAAGGCTTAATACTGGCTCTCCCCGAGTAGCCTACAATTTGACAAGAAAATAAGGCACTTGCAAACACATGTCTGCTGTAAAATTCCAAGGTAATAAACAAATGATGCTATAGTACTATAATCTGTGTAGTGTAAATCCTAAAATCAAGGATTTTACACTATAATATATATAGGATTACATCCTTGATGTATAACCCGTCAAGGATTATACACTATAATCTGTGTAGTGTAAACCCTAAAATCAATCCTAAAATCAATATTATTTATTGCCTTGACATCTGGTGAAAAAAGCAAGGTCTCAAACGGCTTAACTGTAAATTTTGCTTTCCTCAAATTTGTTCCTGTGAAAAAGGTACCCTCTCCCAACAGTCCTTATCAAGGACTAGAAGCACTTCCTACTTACCCCTCAATAGCATTTCAGTTCTCGTCCAGCCTGCAGAATTATTCAAACTAATTCTCAGGCGGAAACCGAGCGTCACCTCGTTCTCTTGACACTACAAAGCCTTCCTTCCACAGTCTTTGGCTGATAATTCTATTCTCAAGTAAAAGCCTCGTGTGACCCCCAACACAATGTCCCCTTCCCCTCTGCTACTAATATGTTACTAATAAACTGCTGCCAATTTCACCCCCCCAGGATTGTGTGTCATACATTTGGCTACTCCCATAACTGTTGGGCCAGAATATCTTCCTCATCGATGGGGTAAACACGGCCACAGCCAGAATATATCTCTTTATATTTTAAGAGGTCCAGGTTAGAAAACGATCTTCAGAGTCTAGAACGGTTTTGTAGAGTAGGTTTGTTTGGACAGAAAATGGTAGTAGGGATTTGATTTTGCATATGGCTTTTGTCTTATTTCTGAGATTTTCTGCTGGAGGTACATATAGAGGAGAAATGATAGCAAACATTAAGCTCTAATTTTATTAGCTGGACAAGGGCCCATTTCAACAACAGAAAATGCGGTAAAAACTGGATTATAGAAATTGTGTTAGGGTAGGAACCAAAGTGAACCTCTATTTCTTATTCCTTCACTCCTGCATTCTACATGCTTTTTCCAGATAGCTACGGAATGTGGATGAGCAGTCTTTTGGCTCTGTGAAGCTATAGGTAGACAGCTGAGATGATGAGGTCCACTGAGACAGGCCCTGCCTCTTTTGTTCAATCCCTGGAGAAAGAGAGTGTACTGAGGGTAAGGCCCACAGCATGTGTAAGCACTGACCTTTAACAGAGGGTACTACCTTCCGGTAAAAGGGTCTCTATCAGAGTCTAGTTCTTTTTTGTGTGTGATCATGTCATATATTATAAATGCATATTTTTTGGTTTTTTACTTTATAGAAAAAAGTTAAAACAAAATTTCATAACAATAGGAGAAAAACAATAGTTAATATTTTGCATTTTGTTATTTTAAAGTAGTTACTCAGAGTATAAGATATGGGTATAAAAAATTCTCCAACTGATATTAGCATGAACCTTCCTTTTCTATGAGCTAAGAGACATAATAGTATAACTAATTTGCACTTTTTCTCTCTTTTCCATTCCTTCATTTCTCCTTTTCCCCATCGTAGTTCCTTTTTCCTCTTAAACAATTTCTTCCCATTTCACAACATCTATTGTACATTTTAGACCTTATTTACTCTTTCAGTTTCTCACACCAGGGAGATGATGTGATGTTTACACATGTGAGTTCAATTTACAAGCTGATTAGGAAATCTTTTCTCAACAGAATGACGGAATGGTGGGATGGACAGGGCAATAGTTTCTTTCTAACGCAGGCACCAAGGCAAAATAAGTTCCTTTCCCCAAATATGACGAAAGATATTCCAGATAAGTCTATGAGATCAGCGGAGGGAGTAATGCAGAAGTGAGAATAGTTTGTGGGGAAGTGCGCACCGTTTGGAGCCAAGGACCCAAACTGGGGACCCGTGGGAATTTTGAGAGTATGAAGTGCAAAGACAGAGGCAACAAGGACTATCCAGGACAAAAGATGCAGTCTGAGTTTTTAAAAATGAAGTCTTTCTGCCTGCTACCAAGGTCTCAGGATATTCTGGTGAATCCAGTCTTTGGTACTCATGATTCCCAGAGAAAATTTCCAGAAGCAGGGATGGGCTGGCAGAGGAGAGAAATGCATACAAAGTACATGGTGTTCTCACAGTTTACTAAGAACATAGTCACTAAGAAGCTATGTCTGAGGCCGGGCATAGCAGAGAGGAAAGACAGTCTCAGCTTCCACATCACTCATATTCTGAGGATCGCCCTGGTGGGGACCAAGCGAACAAGCACATCCCACGTGCCAGGCCGTGTAACATGCGCCACCTGATTTGATTCTCACAAAAAAATCTACAAGGCAGGCAGATACTAGAATTATTATTATTTTACAGTTAGGAAAATATCTGAAAGTTATTGCTCATGGCCATGCAGCTATGCAATGGCTCCACTTCCAGGGCCCGGATTATAATTATTACGCTATAGTACAGTAGTGGCTAATCTATGATATGAATGCCACAGTGGGCTACTGTATGACTGAAACATATAAAGGCTGTCATCACTGTTGAATGAGAAGCAAAGTGACTATTAAAAATAGGAAAAAAGGTGAATTCTCTCTATTCAGTTCAGAAAAAAATATTGTCATGAATATAAGTAAAAGCATAAAATTTTTCATAGAAAATATAAAAAAAAGTTTAGAGAGTACTAACCACAAGTAACACAAATCTCATATTATCAAACATAAATAGGAGTGCTAGAAAAAAGTTATAATTCTAAAAGTTATATATCTTCTATAATTTTTAAGTAACCTCAAGCATTCTCTAGCAAATACCATGATTTAAACATTGTATTTCCCTATTAGTGAGGCTTTCTGCTCTCATTCTAACTTACGAAGCCTTAATCAAGTTACAGCAAAGAAAG